ATAGTGAATGCAGGGTCCTGGGAGACCTGATATAGTAAATGCAGGGTCCGGGAGACCAGATATAGTGAATGCAGGGTCCGGGGAGACCGGATGTAGTGAATGCAGGGTCCGGGGAGACCAGATATAGTGAATGCAGGGTCCGGGGAGGCCGGATGTAGTGAATGCGGGGTCCAGGGAGACCAGATATAGTGAATGCAGGGTCCTGGGAGACCAGATATAGTGAATGCAGGGTCCGGGGAGACCAGATATAGTGAATGCAGGGTCCAGGGAGACCAGATATAGTGAATGCAGGGTCCGGAGAGACCAGATATAGTGAATGCAGGGTCCGGGAAGACCGGATATAGTGAATGCAGGGTCCGGGGAGACTGGATATAGTGAATGCAGGGTCCGGGAAGACCGGATATAGTGAATGCAGGGTCCGGGGAGACCAGATATAGTGAATGCAGGGTCCGGGGAGACCAGATATAGTGAATGCAGGGTGCGAGGAGACCGGATATAGTGAATGCAGGGTCCGGGAAGACCAGATATAGTGAATGCAGGGTGCGAGGAGACCGGATATAGTGAATGCAGGGTCTGTTGTTCCAGCTCAAACTTTTTGGCATATTTGGGACTGAATTATTGTCCTTCGGTTTGCTTCAAAACCTCACATGATGAATTCTTAATGGACATAGCAGTTACATAATGGCAAATGCCAGTCAACCTAATGACTAGCTGTTGCAGATGTGTTTCTGATTTCACTACTTCAAAGTCTGATCATTTTTTAGAGGTTGGTACACCCTTGCACCTTGCTGAGAATGGTAGGAGAGAGATCAATAACATCCCAAATCACATGACCAGGATCTCTCCTAGCTAGAGCCAACACAGTTAGGCTCCATGCACACTAGCGCTTTTTTCAAGCTAAAAAAAACGCTGGTAATAGCATTTTTAGTAGCATTTTAGTAGCGTTTTAATAGTGTTCAGAAGCATTTAGGAGCATTTAGGAGTGTTAGCGTTTTATTAGCGGTTTTACAGTACATGTACAGGAAAAGAAAAGCTAGAAAAAAAGCTGTTAGGAGTGTTTTAATAGCATTTTGGAGCGTTTAGTGTTTATTCTGCTGGAAAAACGCTCCAAAAAAGCTCCTAGATGCTGAAGCTCCAAAACTGCTAATAGCTTAAAGTGTGGAGACATAGGATCACACTATTTAGCTTCTAGGAGCCAATAAAATATGTTGATAAAAGCTTCTAGGAGCTTAAAAAAACACTAGTGTGCATGGGGCCTTAAAGTGGAAGGACACTGCAACGGAATACCACAAACTAAAAAAAAGCTATTTAACCCCTCGCCTACCGGACACTTTTACCCCCTTCCTGCCCATGCCAATTTTCAGCTTTCAGTGCTGTTGCACTTTGAATGGCTATTATGCGGTCATGCAATATTGTACCCATATGAAATTTTTATAATTTTTTTTGAGACATACAGAGCTTTTTTTGGCGGTATTTAATCACCACTGAGTGTTTATTTTTTTGCTAAACAAAAGAAAAAAGTCCACAAATTTTGAAAAAATAAGTTTTCTTACTTTCTGTTATAAGATTTTGAAAACAGGTAAGTGTTCTCCTTCACTGATGTGCGCTGATGAGGCTGCACTGATGGGCACTAATGAGACAGCACTGATAGGCTGCACTGATGGGCACTGATGAGGTTGTACTGATATGGGGCACTGATGGGCACTGATGAGGTTGTACTGATATGGGGCACTGATGGGCACTGACAGGCAGCACTGAAGGTCACTGATATATGGCACTGACTGGCGGCACCGATGGGCACTGACTGGCGGCACCAATGGACAATGACTGGCGGCATCAATGGACAATGACTGGCAACACCGATGGACACTTGCTGGCAGCGCTGTTGGGACTTCACTGATGGACACTGTTGAGACTTCACTGATGGACACTGTTGGGACTTCACTGATGGACACTGTTGGGACTTCACTGATGGACACTGTTGGGACTTCACTGATGGACACTGTTGAGACTTCACTGATGGACACTGTTGTGACTCCACTGATGGACACTATTGAGACTTCACTGATGGACACTGTTGTGACTTCACTGATGGACACTGTTGAGACTTCACTGATGGACACTGTTGTGGCTTCACTGATGGACACTGTTGAGACTTCACTGATGGACACTGTTGAGACTTCACTGATGGACACTGTTGAGGGTGCACTGATGTCCCTTTGGGGCTGCATTGATCTCCTCTGATGTGTGAATACTCTTGCCGATTACATGCAGGCAAGAGAGTGTGCTTAGCTGGGAAAGCCCCTTTTCCCCTCCTCCAGATAACAGAAAAAAGTGCTCAGGAAGACTCCTGGGATGTATGACCTAATTTTGGCCTAGGTCAGAAACCAGGAAGAAACTAATACTTGCAGCATAAGGATAAAAATAGTCAATGTTGACTGAAAGAGTGAATTTCCACTTAAAAGCAACAAATGGCATTCTCTGCACGCCTGATTAAATCAACAGCATGGAAGAATCAGAGTAGTCTCTTTCCACCCATTACATTGGAAAGGCAATTTCTACATATTTCATTGAAAAGCTGAAGTAGAAATGCCATAGGGGCAGGCATTAAAGTGAACCTGTTGCTTTGCCTTTCATGGGCCAAGGGCAGGTACGCTTTAAACGACTTTCATTCTAGAACATGATTTTATACTCTTTCCACTTACCCGGCTCTGCACAGCGTTTCATTGTTGTGCTCTGATAGAAGAATTAGCCACACTTCGCAGTCAGAACTCTTCATTCTCCTCTACACAACTGTCAAAAGATCTATGACATCCTCCACAATGGATATTGACTTGGTGCCTGTAGCACTTGTCACACAATCACTCACGGCTGCTACCATTAGCAGAATAGGAGTGCGTCTCTGTCAACGTTTATTACAACGAAGCTCAAGGACCTTTCCAGACTCCCACGGGAGTATTAAATGTCAAGCACTAATTTATAATTAAAAGAATGCAATGTTCCTCTTCGAAAGCCATGCGGGATTCCATGGCCCTCAAGCCGTTATGGAACTACAAATCCCATTTAGATTGTGGTTATGAGCTGGGACTTTTGGTCCATCAGGTGATGGGAGCCGCTGTTCATTTTTTTCTAGTTGTTTAGCAGGATAGCTTGAAGGTTTTATGAGAAATCTTTCTGTTCCCCAAGCAAGGTACACATAGGGGTTTATTTACTAAAGCTGGTTCATGGTAGCCAAAACAACAATTAAAGGAGCGCTCCCAACCCTGTGGAAGTCAATAGAGTCTCAAGCCCAGGAACAGGTAAAGTTGAAATTCACTCTAATGTTGGGTTAAAAAGCATGACATGTAGGAGTGCCCAGATTGATACATGACCAAGCCAGTGGAGAGGAGACACACATATTCCCAGAAGATGGAGGATGATCCTGGACCCAACAGTAGGTTGCTCAGCCCAGGAGCCTCAGGACAGTGGGAAGGGTGTGTGAATGAGAGCCACTAGGATCCCTAAGATAGCCGTCCGCCGTACGTTACATGTCCCAGCTCAGGTTGTTGTGTCATACACCTGGCAAGAGACCACCCGAGCAAGGGCTGGTGAAGGCAAACTGGAAGCCTAGGGAGCACTCAAACCATGTCCCATAATCAGCTTCTAACCTCAGCTTGTTCAATTAAGCTTAAGCAATACAACCTGGAAGCTGATTGGTTTCTATGCAGAAGGGCATGAGATTCTGAATGAACCAGCTTTAGTAGATAAACCCCATATTGGTACCGTCCATAAAGCCATATTCTCAATCATCTCTTTTGGATGCCCTACTTCTTTCCTTAACAGGAAGTGTAAGAAGTAAGATGGTGGTGGGGTATCTGGACTTCTGTGGGGACAGACACGGAGCAGAGGTTTTGTTCACTAGTTATGGACCAGTGAGTTATTTATAACAGGCAGCTATTTTTGCAAAAGAAAGGGATACTGTTTTAAGTTAGATCATTTATCTCATCCGTTCTCCTGAAGAAGCAGGACTTGATTCTGGAAATCCTGCTGAGTCCAGGGCTAGTCTCAAGCCCAGTTGGATACATTATAAATACTAATGTGCATGACGAAAAAATGTGTTTTGTTTCAGATTTTTCATTACATGAATTTGTTTTGTGTATTCAGATTCATATTGCATATCTGGATTTGATTCAGAGTAGGGGAGAGGGCATTTGGGTGGGAAACCTAACTAGCCCGCAGCTGGACTGTGCTTCAAAGTCGCAGCCTCTAGATCCCCTTTGTCCAGGGATTCCTTCAGACAGCTGGATAGAAGAGGGCTATCTGGGATTCGGGGGGTGGTACACCAGGAGAGGCTGGATAGCTCTCCAAGAAGAGAAACCCTTCTGAGCACTTGTACATAGTTCCAGGAAGTTGACCGCAGTTTAAATGTTCCTTGAACATCCCATGTATCCCTCATCCCCATCCGAGTTCAAATCCCGTAATAAAATCCTCCCAAAAAAGTTCAAGGACTGTTTACTGTCTCTGGAGGGGAATACGTGTTGCCTGGCTGTGCTCCTATGGGCGTAGTGCTACACAATCATTGAGAAAATGCAAAGCATTACCTGAACTGCACCCATGCCCAGCAGCCAACCTCCTGTGTTCACAATGCAGCAGGGCAGCCACTCGGCAGGGGACCCAGAAGCTAGTAGAGATCACTGGAGTAGAGGTGTGTACTACAGTGGTTTCCAGCTTCTAGAAGCATCCTATGGGTATGGAATATACATAGTTACATTGGTCTAAGCTGGTCAATGTAAGTATGTGAAAATATCCATACCTGGAATTCTTCTCTAGATATATTATTTGCAAGTAGCTGTCTCAGGAGTTTTAAGGTTCCATCTTCAACATCTGGAAAATAATCTTTATGAGCTTCAAGTTCCAGCCATACAAAGAAAACATCTGTGGTACCTGTGAGGTCTCAACGTCAAAGCAGCTGATAAGGAAAACAGGCAATATAACTTAAACTACAAGACAGAAACAAGTACCTGCAGATGTAGTCACCCTTGCAGGCATCCAACGGGGTCAGACAATTTGGCTTCTCTTTCGACTCATAGGAACATGCCGGAACAATGGTTTGTCTTCTACGTTCGGCACAAGCAGTGTCTTCGCATGGACAGAAGAGCAGTTCATTGGTGTACTCTGGAGGAACCCGGTCAAAGAACTTCCTCAAGGCCTTGTGGCACTTGGAGCGATTGCAAGCATCATTCCTTGCTGTGGTGCGTATACACAGTCCAACATACTCCGTCCGTAGCTTTTGGCACGTGGCATCAACGTTACAGGCTTTGGCGGCATCCAAACACCGGTTTACTTGTGTAACTTCATTTTCAGAACCTAGAAAAGATGAGACACATATAAGCTGTGCTGAATTTGATCATAGGACAGGTTTGAGTCTAGAGTGACACCTAGGACTTTGGCTTGTGGGGTAGGACTGATGGTGGCGTTGTTGGTCGTGATGGAGAGGGTGGGGGGGGGGGGGCACGGGCTGGGGGGGAAATCAGGTGCTCGGTTTTGGAAAGGTTCAATTTGAGGAAATGGAGCGACATCCAGTCTGATATGTCGTTCAGTAGGTGGGTGATACGGGCGGAGACTGAAGGGGTGAGGTGAGGAGTGGAGAGGTAAATTTGCATGTCATCAGCGTAGAGGTGATAGTTGAAGCCGTGGGAGTGTATCAGTTTGTCGAGGGAGGAGGTGTAGATGGAGAAGAGAAGGGGCCCGAGGACTGAGCTTTGGGGGACCCCAACAGAGGGGGGGGAGGTGGCAGCGTTTTAGGTAACGCTGAAGGAGCGTTGGGATAGATAGGAGGAGAGCCAGGAGAGAGCAGAGTCTCTGATGCCGAGGGAGTGTAGTTTGTTAAGGAGGAGGGGGGTGGTCGTCTGTTTCGAAGGCCGAGGAAAGGTCAAGGAGTAAGAGGACTGAGTAGTGGCCATTAGCTTTGGTGGTCAGCAAGTCATTAGTGATTTTGAGTAGGGCAGTTTCGGTGGAGTGTAGGGGACGGAAGCCAGACTGTAGTGGATCGAGGTTCCTCCTAGACTGTAAGCTCGAAAGAGCAGGGCCCTCGTACCCCTTGTGTATTGTATTGTTACTGTATTGTTTGATGTACTGTCCCCCACTATAATGTACAGCGCTGAGCAAACCTTTTAGCGCTATATAAATACTGTATAATAATAATAATAATAATATGTAAACCCAGCATTTTATATTCATGATACGTGCCTGCTGTACCATGTATTTGTATGAAAAGGTATCCTGTTCTCTTTGTATTGCTTCCTTTGTGTGAAATCCCTGGTGTTCCTGCCAGTCCCTCTGCTTTTCTAATAAAAACTGACCGTACTAAGCATGAGAGCACAGTGTGGTCAGCTCTCTAGCTGTGCTGGGCTCTCCGCTAATGATCAGACTTGTCCTGACAAGCCCCCCTGCACAGCCTTTCACAGAGTAGACCAGTGCTCTGTTGTTTCTCCTCCCCCAGCTCTTATGCAGCTGAGAACAGAGAAAATGTGATCACTTAGGAAAAAAAAGGGAACAAAAGGTATTTAAATTTTTTTTCTCGATATGCAAATGTTTTGCCTGTCATTTCTATTTTAAACTGCATGGGTTGTTTTACAGGATGAGGGCCTACAATCACTTTAAAGCTGATCCAGATAATTGCACATCAATAGCAAAACTTTATAAACTAGTAATTTAAATGGTTAGAAAATGAAGACAGATGGTAAGAAGAAGTACATAATGTTACACCTATCACCAGAACCAGAGGGACATTTTCTACTAGAGACAACCTTATTCAGTGACAACTTTTAAAGGTTGGGTTTTCCTTCATTCTAGGGAGATTTCTTCTCACCTGCAATGTGTCTCCAGCACCGGCATCAAGGGGAAACCCACATCCAATAACAACCTTCTCCATTCTAACTTAAGCAAAGCAAAATGTTTTGTCTGAAGTTTCATTAACCTCCCTAGCGGTATGATTATTTCAGATTTTTTGTGCTGAAAGCGGTACCATTATTTTGCATGGAAATATGTAGTTTTTTTATTGTAGGCTGTAATATTTAGGAATAACTCACTGAAATCTGTCCGAACAAGAGTCTAGTAAACATCCCGGGTATGATAAAATTTGAAACACAAAATCATAAATTATAATTTAATAAATAATCATAAGAAATATTAATATAATAATACATTTAATTCAATAATATAATCAAACCAAAAACACTGAAATTTGAAATATAGCTGAGCAAAGTCGCAAAATCGTTTTCAGTGTCTGATGATGAATTTCCCCCACGAATCATTATCACTCAATTCTGGAAGTGGTTCTGATTTACTATCGCTGTTCTCTAGCTGATCTAAACCCGCTTTTGACCTAAAGGGACGCTTTTTGGACGCCATGGACGTTTCTAAGTTTCCAGGCAGAAAGAACAGTAAAAATGCAGGCAGGGCGCAGGACAAAGCACTAGGGACAAAATGTATGTGAAATGGTTTGAAACAGCAATGTTTTACTATGTAAAATCGTTTTGAAAAAAATGACATTTTTTTTTAATTTTCAAATTTCCCGCCGCCGCCGGCACCCGTACGTCCCGACGTCACAGGGACCGGAACACAGGAGCTGGATGCCGGCATCAGCCGGAGAAGATGGCCGGGGACGCCGCAGGGGACACATCGCGGGAGCGAAGGACAAGGTAAGCCCTGCAGGGACTCCCTATGCAGTGCCGCATGGTAAGCCCGAGTGTAGCTCGGGGTTACTGCTTTTGGTACTGACATTTTACCCCGAGCTACACTCGGGAATACCGCTAGGGAGGTTAACCTTAACTTTTCTTTAGCTACAGTTGCAAGAAAAAGTATGTGAACCCCTTGGGATTACGTGGAGTTTTGCATGAATTGGGCATAAAATGTGCTCTGAACGTCATCTAAGTCACAACAATAGAAGAACACAGTCTGCTGAACATAATACTACACAAACATTAGATGTTGCCATGGTTTAATTGCACATAACATGTAAACATTCACAGTGCAGGGAGGAAAAAGTATGTGAGGCCCTAGCTTAATGACTTCTCCCAGAGCTAATTGGAGCCAGGAGTGAGCCAACCTTGACTCCAATCAGTGTGATGATATTGGATGTGTTGCTGAGCTGTCCTGCCCTTAAAAAACACACACCTGTTTTGGGTTTACTGGTTTCAAGAAGCACTGTCTGATGTAAACCTCGCAGAAAAGAGCTCTCAGAAGACCTACGATCAAGAATTGTTGACTTGCATGAAGCTGGAAAGGGTTACAAAAGTATCTCCAAAAGCCTTGATGTTCATGTGTCCACTGTAAGACAGACTGTCTACAAATGGAGAAAGTTTAGCACTGTTGCTACTCTCCCTAGGCGTGGTCGTCCTGTAAAAATGACTGCAAGAGCACAGCGCAGAATGCTGCATGAGGTAAAGAAGAATCCCAGAGTGTCAGCTAAAGACCTACAGAAATCTCTGGCACATGCTAACATTTTTGTTGACACATGTACAATAAGGAAAACATTAAACAAGAATGGAGTACATGGGAGGACACCACGGAGGAAGCCATTGCGGTCCAAAAAGAATATTGCAGCACGTTTGAAGTTTACAAAAGAGCACCTGGATGTTCCACAGCACTACTGGCAAAATATACTGTGGACAGATGAAACCGAGATTGAGTTGTTTGGGAAGAACACACAACACTATGTGTGGAGAAAAAAAGGCACAGCACACCAACATCAAAACCTCATCCCCACTGTAAAACATGGCGGAGGGAGCATCATGGTTTGGGGCTGCTTTGCTGCCTCAGGGCCTGGATGGATTGTTGTCATTGATGAGAAAATGAATTCCAGAGTTTAGAAAGACATTTTGCAGGAAAACGTACGACCATCTGTCCGCCATCTGAAGCTCCACAGAGGATGGGTGATGCAACAGGACAATGGCCCAAAGCATACAAGTAATTCAACAAAACAATGGCTGCAACAGAACAGAATACACCTTCTGGAGTGGCCCAGTCAGAGTCCTGACCTCAACCCGATTGAAATGCATGACCTTGAGAGAGCGATTCACACCAGACATCCCAAAAATATTGCTACACTGAAACAGTTTTGTGAAGAGGAGTGGTCCAAAATGACTCCAGATCGTTGTGCAGGTCTGATCTGCAACTACAGGAAACGTTTGGTTGAGATTATTTCTGCCAAAGGAGGGTCAACCAGTTATTAAGTCCAAAGGTTCACATACTTTTTCTTGCAACTGTATGGATTGAATAATGAGGGGTTTGAATCCCCCGTCAGGTTTTTACTACAATTTGGGTCATCATTGGGGAGATTTAGGCTCTCTGTTTGGCCTGGTGACTTTTGCAACCAGAACTGAAAGAGAAAAAAAAAATCCAAAATGTTGAGCTGTCACCAGAACAGAAATAGGGAAGAAATATTCAAATGGGGGCACTAGATCTAGTGATTACTGTCTAAGACTATGATTCTCAAGTAATGGGTTGTGACCCAAAAGTGGGTTGCGACCAGGGGCGGACTGGGCCGCGGCAGTGATGGGAGTAAGTGACATATAACTACACTTCCTTCCAGCCAGTCAGCCATGCAGGAGAGAAGAAAAGCACCATTGGACGCCAGGGAATGACTCTGCTAGGTACTTCTCCTGGGTTATGGCTGGGTGATGAAGAGCACATTTTGAAAGGAGTAAAAGAAAACAGGAAAGCGATGGTGAAGACATTAATGCTCTTAACTTATGCAGGCCATAGACGGTTCGTTTATCGACTGATTTTTCGTCCGAAAAACGAAACATCGTTCTTTCTGTAAACCGATCTTGCCACCAATGATTGCAAAAATCGGCCGTTTTTCACAAATTTTCCAGCATGACTGATAAACGAAATGAGGAGAAACTGCGAAAATCGTCCGATGCCATTGCCCCACTAACAGTGCGAAAATCGGCTGATTATTATTTCGGACGAAAAATCGGCCAATAAACGAACAGTCTATGGCCGGCATTAGTGTGCCTTTGAGTGAGAGATAGAGGAGGCATTGGTCAGCTTAATGGACTATTAGTGTGAGGTGGAGGGGACATTGCTTAAAGTAAGGAGGTATTATTGGATTTTTGTTATTTTATGCATGCCTAAAATAATTATTTATTTTAAAAGTCTAAAAAGTGTTTTATGTAAAAATGTGTACATAGTTACATAGTTAGTCTGGCTGAAAAAATACAAAAGTCCATCCAGTTCAACCATTAACCACTTTCTGTCCAGCCTATGTATATAAACGGCCTCCCCGCACTCTGCTTGGGAGCGCACAGCACCACGATCCGGTGCCCGCTGTGTCCTGCGGACACAGTGGAACACCGATT